CTTCCCTTGTAATTTCTAATTTGCTTGTTAATCTTATTTTCTTTGTTACGTGTCTGGCTTCCTCTTGTCTACAAATTTGATTTATAAGGACCTGTTGCATGGTATAATTATCATAATTATTTTTTTTTCCATAACCATGACCAATTTGATTGGACTGTATTTGTAAATTACTGAATTAGAAATAAAATTCAGCAACCTTTTTGAAGTTGGTATCAAATCTCCGAATTTTGGGGATGTTGTACTTCTAAGTATAAACCTAACTCAATCCAAATAGTTAATTCTCGAAATGGGGACTGGTCAAACCTTTTAGCGCTACTTCCACCATATCCATAGGGATCTCATCACTGACCTCTCCCATGATTGTGCGCATAGAACGTTAAAGTTTTGGGGTTAAAGATATTCGACTATGAAAGTTATGGATCTAGGTAGGATTGATTTTCTTTTTATATTGCACTGACAAAGCTGCCGGCCTGGTAGATTTTGGTGAGGTTTGTATGGTCCAGTGTTGGATCAATGATAGTGATAGATCAGATTAGCGGCCAAAATAGTGAATGCTTATTGCTGAACTCAGTGTCCTAGTCCTGTTCAATGCGATTCAGCAGTGAGGACGTGTGGTGTGTTACCATTTTGGACTTTTGCTGGACCTAATTCTAGCCCATGCGATAGGAACTGCCCAAGCCTTTACAAGTTCTACTTAAGCTATGTATATAGTTGATGTGGGATATCAACAGTTACCACCCAAAACAAGCGTGTCTATGGAGTCTGTTCACACTAGTCCTCAACTTCAGGGGAAGAGTAGTCTAGAAGTTAGTCTCTTGTGTTGTCGTCCTTTCCTCTTATGCAGGATTGACATCTTCCTTCGGCACTACTTGTCAGAAAACCACCGGCTTGCATGAAAAACACCCCACAAATAAGCGTGTAAGTGAAGGTTGAGAGGTATATTTTATCAGTTCAACTTTCATTTAAGACTTTAAGGGATTTATACCATGGATCGATGTAGCAGTGAATCTGTAACAGCACCCAAATGACTGTCTTTCGTTTTACTTGTTCTTCTCTGGCCTTGAGATGTACGAGTGCTGTCTTGCTGTCATATGGGCAGTGAAACAAGTTTAGGCACAATATGTGCAATGATAAATATGTTAATTTTTTTAAAAGTCGAGATGCAAATATTACATGATATAATAATTATAATTATATACTATTCTTATATAATTATGTATCATATTTATATAACTATAATTATGTATTGCTGATATTTTTTTCTCTGTATTTTTCTTAGTAAGGTTGATATCATATTGATTTGTTACCGTCATATTATTGCTGGATTTTTACCTCTTAAAAAGTTGATTGAAAAGGCCTAATCCTAGCCAAATTTGAACAAAAATGTTATATTCACGTTACGGTATTGATTCATTCGCTACTTTAGAGATTTGTAGACGAGACATAGTTCTGATACCGAGACAGTTGTATAATATGTGTACAAGCATCCAATATTATTTAAAGTATTTGATTGAGGTTGTCGGTCATGCATAACCAGGCTGAATGATGTTGTGTAATCCATGTGACCGACCTTACGTAGTGGATAAGGCTTTGTTATTGTAGAGGTTGTGTGCATCACTGTATCATTCCCAGAATCTGACTTTGTGGTATTGATTTCTGGTGCAGAGGGAAGTGTGCCGTCTGATCCCATCTTCCACTAGTGATCTCAAAAGGGTATGTTTTCTTTTCCTCATTTATATCTGATTTCAAGTTGCTGTCCCTTTCAGAACCGTTCACTTAATCTTATGGCGGGTTTAGTTTACCTGTCTATGTTGTTACTGGGATTTATGGCAACTAAATTATCTCATAATTTCTAGTTCTATTCACAATCCTTTGATAAATGTTTTCGTAATTCACTTTTAACCACTTGCAGAGATGTACTTAATATTTTCTTAATTTGTTATTAAATAACCTCTTATGGTGCTCTATTTCTTAAATCCTCTTAACATCATAATTATTCTGATGTTTATATTTTACGTAAATTTGGTCACGTGAATTTACTATAGTGAGAATTGGAATTTGTGCTTTGTCCTGTAACATTCCCATTCCTCTTGATGACCCTTTGTCAAAACCAGTTTCAGGATTTCATATCATACTTAAAGCAGAGGGACTGTGCTGGGGTTATTAAAATCCCAGCTTCAAAATCCATATGGGCAAGGCTGCTATTCATTCTCCCCCACTCACTTGAAACTTGCTCTTTGCTTTCTATTGCACCTGATCCCTCAGATTGTCTCATTGCTTTGGTTCTTCCCAAAGAAACGAACTTTGAGTGGATATGATTTTGATAGGTATCCTTTATCAAAAGTAAAATGATATAGCTTAGCCCGTAGTGGAGCTGAAGGCATATTTTATATGCTCAAGGCAATGAATGTAAATTATCCTGTTGTAGTTCTAACAATGCTGATGTGAATTTTTTGTTGATATCGATCCTAGATTCTTTCTCCTTTTTGTTCTACAATTTGTCCAGCTTGAGTTTAATAAACTCTTAAATTAGTCTTCACAACATGTGGATTTTTTAATTCTCTTGAAAATTTAAAATTTCTAGTTAGTTCTCAATTTTGCAAACTGTCATTCAGTTTATTTTTTTTAATGGAAAGCGAAAACAAAAGGTAAAGTAGATAAAAATATTTATCATGAATGCAATGCATACATACGATTTCAAAGTCTTATTTAAATATTCACTCTATGAAGTCATTTTTACAAGTCTCAAGGACTTTTCCCTTTGTTTGATGTTTTGTGCATAAACCAAACCGCTGCCATTTAAAGAAACATTTGCTCCATCATATTTAAATCATTTAACCAAAGTTGATAAGTAGTTCTCGTGCTGTATTGGATCCAATTTATTGTTTTCTGAATTTTAATAATTTTTTCCTATACTTATTTTGTGTTCTAATCCGCAACATTACATTCGAATAGCGAACTTTCAAATTAGCAATCTGAAAAGTAAAAAAGGGAAAAAAGAAAAGAGAATTTTTACACCCTGTAAATTAGCATCTACTTGAAAATTTTATTTTAAAAATATTAACATATATTAATAAGTTAATTTAAAAAATATATGATCACAATATAATTAGCTATTGAACGATTTTTTATTTATCATGGAATGTGAAGATATCATCCTAAAAAATAGCATTCTAAATTGTGGTCAAAGAAATTATTGAAACTACGGGGAGATGAAGATACAGCACAGGATGCGGATATGATACAATTCAAACACAGCAATATAACAAATGTCACAAGACATTGGGCCAAATATGACAAGAATACAATGTCTTAAATCAATACAAAATTAAAAAAAAAATGTGTTACAATCCACCAAATTATATAATAATTCCAATTTGTAGTATTCACTTATAAGTTTAAAAATTAAAATAAATTATAAAATGCAACCTGGCTAGGACTATTTGAAGTGTCTGTTAGATGTCCCAATATGGATACAAGTTTGAAGTTGATCAACATAGCATACTATTTTAAAGTGTCTGTGCATCCTGACACTATCATTAACATAAAATTGAAATTTTTCTGACTAAATAACAACTTGAGGACATGAATTCTTTTTATCTCACACACCCAACTAATGTAATATTGTTAAATTTCCTTAATGAATATTAGTGTTGTCAAAATAGATCGTAACCCGCGAGCCAATCCGACTCACTACGGGTTTGAGCTGGGTTGGATTTGAAAAAAATGTAATTTTTTTATGCGGGCAAGTTTTCAACCCGACTCACCGGTTGAACCTGTGGTGAGCCGGGTTGGTACTTAATTTAATTTAATTATTTATTATTTTGTGTTTCAACATTATTAATTAGCATTTGTTTTATTATATCGTAGATGGTGATAAAGTAGATGTTTCAAGACAGAAAAATATTATAGATTTATCTATTCAAGACTCTAATATTATAAATGGACAAGTGATACAAAAATTATCAATATTAAAAACTCATTTGTTCGCCTTTTGTACATGTTTTTGGATTACGATTGAATTGTATGATAATTTTTTATTTATTTTGAATTATCTTTGAAGTTTAACATCATTTTAGTGTGAGGTTTATTTAGATTTGAATTCAAAAAAATATAATTTTTTTATTTTAAAAATAACTTATAATTAAATGAGACAGTGGGTCAACCCGTTTAATCCACCAATCCGTGGTGGGTTGGACCGAGTTTGAACTTTTTCAGTTTACTAATAAGTGAGTCGGATTGGATTGGTTCACTAAGCAACCTCCTGTGATGGGTCGGGTGAGATCAAGTCGGGTTACCCATTTTGATAACTCTAAATATCTAACTTCAAGAAAAATGTATTCGATCCAAAACTTTCTCACATCGCTTGATAACACCAAAGGTCTTGCAGAATCATGAATGCAAACAAGCTCAGAGCTCGGATCAACAGCCTGCAAAAATAAAAAAGAACATCTAAAAATTCAATGAAGGTATCAACAACTCAATGATACCACACAAGTTGTCAAACTTGAGAACTCGAGAACCTATGCAAGATCGTGGAGCTCCAGTAGAATCAACTCATAAGAGTCTGCCTATTATTAAAAGTAATATTAAGAAGCTTATTAATGACATATATGCGTAGCATAATATTCTTAACAATAATTCAACATTTCAACTCCCTGATAAAACAAAGTATAAATGACCAAATCAAATATAAATGTGAAAAAAATAAGATCCTATGAGAAAACATTTCAAAAAGAAGTTAAATGTTTATATGAGAAAATGATGCAATATTTAAAGAAAGAAAGAGAGAAAAAATGTTGCTTAATTTTACTATTAACCTGTAAGTTTCTTTGAATGTTGAAAAGGAAGTAGAGTTTGAGTTTGAATTTAAGAAGGATATTTGAATTTAGGGAGGTCTAGGCAGAAAAAATGGAGGTGCAGGAAAAAGTGAAGGAAGAAATCCTCCAAAGAAGAATAAGGGGTCCGGGCCTGGGTTGAGCAGAGTCCAATAAGATGCAAAGAAATGAAAGAAAATGGAGAGAGAGAGAGAGTGCGGGAGAATCGAAATCGAAGAGGAAATGGGATCGGGAAAACACACGGCAGAGTTCTTCAGAAGAAGGGATGCGTGGAGGAAGCATCCCATGCTCACCAATCAGTTCCGGCACGCCACCCCTGGCCTTGGCATCGCCCTCGTCGCATTTGGCTTCTATCTCGTCGGCGAACAAGTCTACGATCGCCTCAATGCTGATTCTCATGCTCACGTACTATTATCTTCTTCTTCTTCTTAGGGTTTCCTCGTATTCTTCCTATTCCTATTCAATTCACTAATTATTCACACACTACCACTGTTAATTGAACATGATTTGATATCTTTTGTCCTCTTGCAGGTGAAAGCCGAGAACCACCACTAATCTCAACTATTGGATTCCATCGTCGCTTTCCCTCTTTCATAATAAGCTTTGTCTTCGTTCATATTCTCGCAGCCTTTATAAATTTCAGACTATGTTGCCTTCTTTGCATCGTTGACATTGCAATATACTTTCTTTTTTTCTATCGCATTCCTGCTTTTGCCTGTCACCGCCTTTTTCAGCAGACATCAAATTCATTCCTTTGCGTCTCAACCATCCCTTAATTTGTTATATTCGTATTTTCAGCAACATCTGGTAACTGTGAGTCGATTTACTCACTGACTTATTAGGAAATAAAATTGATCAGTTGTTTTGGGATTGAATTTGCCTTCAGTAATGTCCAGGACTGGATTGATGCCAATTTTAGGGACCAAAATCGAGGTTTCAGACAAGATATGTGAATTTCCCTCTTGCGAGTTTGGAAGAAAACTGAACTGTAGGAGTGGTGTCTTCTTTTGTTTTGGGTAATTGAATTGGACTTCGTCGTTGGAGTAGTATCTTGGTTCGGGTTATTGAATTGGTTGCTTAACTCTAGCCTCCTGTGTTTCGAAAACAAAAAAAGCATTTATAACAGAAGTGAAATGTCAGTAACACACTTTATTATTAGGTTATTTCAAATAAGTAGGAGGATCAGGAATGGCATAAATTGTAGGATGAATATGAGAGCGTTGATTCCTGTACTTCACCCATCTCAATCTGCATCTTCTAATAGACATTTTTGTCCTTTATTTGTTAAAGTATGAAAAAGTTTAATGATGATCCAACCACCAACAATTTTTAACCCTGTTCTATAAACCCCTTGCATGCACTTCCATTCCATTTCTCTACTATTTCATTTTTTAGTTCTTTCATTGAGTTTTTTTTTGAGAGGTTGTATTCTGAAAGTGGTGATACAACGGTGGTGATTGTAATCGATTGTGGTGGTCGTGCTGTGTGGTGTGGTTCTTGAAGGAGAAAAGTGTTGAAACAGATTTGCAGATTCAAAAGGCATCAACGAGGTTAGTAGATATAATGTAAGCACCCTTACCTGTTGGAACTTCGGTTAAGGATGTACCGGCATTCAGACGCCGGTTATGTAGTGCCGTTCGTATGTGTTAATCATATTGTTTTTTGAATTATTTTGTTTTTTAAATTTTTTATTATTTATGATGTATTAGTTAATTTTGTAGATATTTTTTATATAGTAATTAATTTGTTGTTGTTATTAAATATCTTATGTTTGTTATGAAGTTATTATTTTTTTATACGTGTTAATGAAGTTTAATTTGATTTTGAATATTTTTTTTAGTATTTAGTTTATAATATTTTATGTTATTTTATATTTATTATATACATTTTTTATGTGTTAATTTTATTATTTTTTATTTAATTTAAAATATTTGATGTTATTTATGATAGATTAGTTAATTATTTAGGTGTTATTTTTTATGTAGTAGTTAAATTTTTGTTATTAAATTTTTTTATTTGTTATTAAGTTTTTTATGTTTTGTACGTGTTAATAATTTGAAGTTTTATTTAATTTTGAATACGTTTTTTGTTTTTTATTTAGTATTTAATTTAGAATATATTTTGTTATTTTGTATTTATTGTATAACTTTTTAAGTGTTAATTTTTTCTTTTGATTTAATTTATAAGATGTTTATATTTAGTAATTTTTATTTAAATTTTAAAATATTTTCTTATATCTTATTTGTTATTTATTACTTTATTTGTAATATGTAATAATATTTTTAGAGTTTAATTTAATTGATAATATGTTAAATTTTTGTAATTATAATATTATTGATATTATTTTTTGTTGTTTTTTTATTTAATTGATAATTTATATCGTAATGTGTATAATATATGTTTTTTTATTTATTATATAAATTGAAAATATTATGTTGTTTTTGATAGTTAAATTCTAATATTGTAATGTTTACTGTAGGTTGTATTTAATTTTATAAGATGAATAACTATCCATTTCTCGATTCTCAAATAAATTATGGTTGTGTTGAAATTTTATTTTTTCCTAAATGAAGTGGGTAAGGGTGATTACACAAATAAGTTTTCTACTGATCAAATCTTCCCATCACGTGCCAATTTAGTTGAATGAGTTTGAAACATTATATTTGACCTTGAATTTGTTGTCATGATTATAAGATCTAACACAACAACTAGGAAAGCTGAAAGAAAGACATTCATTTTGTTAGGATGTGAGAGTAGTGAGAAGTATAAGAAGTATAAGCCAGATGTTCATCCTAGTGTATCTGACACAAGAAAATGTGAGTGTCTGTTTAGGTTGAGGGGTAAACCTAAAGAACAGGGTTAAGTGTTAAAGGTTATGTGCGACTATCACAACCATGAATTAGAAGAGACTTTGATTGGTCATCCTTTCGCGGGAGGCTAAATGCTGCTGAACAATTAATTCTTGTTGACATGACTAAGAGTCAAGTAAAACCCTCAAATATTCTTTTGATTCTCAAAGGACATAATGAAGCTAACATGACCACTATAAAACAAAAATATAACGTATAACAAACGATCAGAGAAAGTCGAGAACTGAAATGCAGCAGTTGATGATGTTGTTAAATAGAGATAATAAATACATCCAATGGAGTATATCTTTGGACGGTTCTGACGTGGTAAGTGATGTCTGTTTCGGACACATCTCGATTCAATGCACTTGCTGAATTCATTTAATATTGTCTTCTTAACGGATACCACGTACAAGATGAACAAGTATCGTCTTTCATTGCTTGATATTATTGGAGTCACATAAACTAGTTTGACATTCACAGCCGTCTTTGCATTGCGTTCAAGTAAACACCGAAATAATTTCACATAGGCATTGGAAAGGTTCAAAGAATTAGTATTGACAATAGAGGACGATCCACGTGTTGTTGTTAGAGACAAAGATCTTGCTTTGATGAATGTCATTGTCAATATATTTCCTGAGACGTATCACATGCTTTGCACATTCCACATTATGAAAAATGTCAAAACGAAATGCAAGATGTTAGTGGATAATGTTGATGCATGGGATGTCTTGATAGAAGTGTGGCAAAATGTGATAGACAGTGACGATCAGTTGATGTTTAGTGCTTATGTTCATCGTTTTGAGTATGTCTCTGCTGCATGGCTTTTATTTTTTGATTATTTGAATCGTACTTGGATCGTTTTGTACAAGGCATACTTCGTTAAGGCGTGGACAAACAGAGTGATGCATCTAGGCAACACTACAACAAATAAGTAATTGTTTTTGTTAATTTTTTTAATTATGTATTTCATATTTGTTGTGATATTATTAATGTGTTTTGTGACACGATTGAGTCTGCGTACTGGAACCCAAGAGATTATTAGAGTCTAGTATGGGAGACCTATGCTCGTGTTGGGATGCTATGCAAAACCTCATTGTCTTACAACATAATATGATCAAGACCCTTTGAAAAAAGTCTTAACCTAATGAGTGATGCTTATAAAGGATTGAGATATAGAGGACTTGTTGGACGTGTTTCACGACACACTCTAGGACTTATTACTGATATCGTTGAGTGAATGAATCAAATAGGTTTGGACAATGCTTGTTATGGATGCATTCTGATAAAACTTATGACCTACCATGTGTTTATGTATTAGCACGATATGAGCCTGGAATAATTCCTCTGTGTGAAATACATGTTATGTAGACCCATTTAAGCATTTCAAGTATTGTGTCTACTGAATCGCTTTCAGAGTTTAGCATTGATCATGAAATTAAACTGGTACAGGAACGATTCAAGAATGTTGACATTGGTGAAAAAGTCAACATCAAGCAGAAGCTAGTTGAAATTGTTTGCTAAGAAATTACATATATGGTTACTCCTTCACATAAAGTGAAAACAAAAGGTGCACAAAAGACTAAAGTTGCACGATATGAGAGGTCTACAAAATGTGACCCATCATATTTTGAGCACGTTGACACTTTGCATTTGAGGACAGAGATCGTTTGTTAGTGAACCTCGCGTTATATATTTGCTTTATAGTAGTTACGTTAGCTTCATTATGTTTTTTGAGAGTCAAAAGAATATTTAAGGACTCTATTTGACTCTTAGTCATGTTAACAAGAATTGACTGTTCAGCAGCATTTAGCCCCCTCGCGAAAGGATGACCAACCAAAGTCTATGCTAATTCATGGTTGTGATAGCCGCATATAACCTTTAACACTCAATCCTGTCTTTTAGGTTTATTTGTCAACCTACACAAACACTCACATTTTCTTGTGTCAGATACACTAGGCTGAACATTTGTCTTATACTTCCCACTTTCACAGCCTAACAAAATGAATGTCTTTCTTCCAGTTTCACCAATTGTTGTGTCAGATTTTATAATCAGGACAACAAATCCAATATTGAATGCTATCTTTCAAACTCATTCAATTAAATCGACGTGTGATGGAAAGATTTGATCAACAGAAAATTTATTTGTGTAATCTCCCTCACCCACTTCATTTAGAAAAGAAGAAAATTTCGATATAAAACCATAATTTATTTGAGAATCGAGAAATAGATAGTTATCCATCTTATAAAATTAAATACAACCTATAATAAACATTACAATATTAGGATTTAACTACAAAAAATCACATAAAATATTCAACTTTATATAAACATTACAATTAAAATTATCAATTAAATAAAAATGATAATATCAATGATATTATAATTACAAAAATTTAACATATTATCAATTAAATTCTAAAACTATTATTACAAATAAAGTAATAAATAAGAAATAAGAAAATATTTTAAAATTTAAATAAAAATTACCAAATATAAAAATCTTATGAATTAAATCAAAAGTTTAAAAAATCAGTACTTAAAAAAATGTATACAATAAATACAAAGTAACAAAATATATTCTAAAGTAAATACAAAGTAACAAAATATATTCTAAAGTAAATACAAAGTAACAAAATATATTCTAAAGTAAATACAAAGTAACAAAATATATTCTAAAGTAAATACTAAATAAAAAAACTTATTCAAAATTAAATAAAACTTCAAATCATTAACACATAAAACATTAAAAATAACTTAAGGTTTAATCCTTTTCGGCATCCCTATTTGTGTAGGAATGTCTCAGATAGGTCCTCGTTTTCTAAAGTGTATCAAAATGGTCCTTAATTTTGAAAATTGAAATCAATTGAGACCTTCCCGTTAAGTTGGCTGAACGACGTTAAAAAAATTGATGAGTGGGATGCTGAGATGACCAAATGGTACTGACGTGGCACAGTACTGTTGTTGACATGGCTTAATGGTGGGTTTTTTATATTTAAAAAAGTTAAATTTGTAAATCAAAACGC